GAGGAAAAGAGGAGAAGGAAAAGAGGAGGAGAAAACTAGAAGAAAAAAGAGGAGGAGAAAAAGAGGAGAAGGAAATGAGGAGAAAAGGGGGAGAAAAAAGAGAAGGAAAAAACGAGAAAAGAGGTAAAAAACGAAGAAAGAAGAACAAGACAAGAAAGAGGAGAAAAAAGAGGAAAAAGAGGAAAAAGAGGAGAAAAAAGAGAAAAAATATGAGAAAAAAAGAAAAAAGGAAAAGCAGTGAAAAGGGGGAAAAGTGGGAAAAGGGAGAAAATCGGGAAAAATGGGAAAAACAGGAAAAACAGGAAAAGGGAAAAGAAAAGGAGGAAAAAACAAAAGACAAAGAAAAAAGAAGGAAAAGAGAAAGGGGGAAAAGGGAAAAATGGGGAAAAGAGAAAAAAGAGAGAAAAAGAGAAAAAGGGAAAAAAGGAGAAGAGGGAAAGAAAAGGGAAGAGAGCAAGAAAAAGAGAAAGGGAGCAAGCAAGAGCTAATCAACCAGGGAACTGACAGAGGGTTCAAGGGCTGGGAAGACAAGAAAACGAGTAATTCTGCTGCCAAAGCAGAGCAAAGCCCTGGAAATATTTCAGGGGCCTGTGTCTTCACAGACATTGGCAATTCTGGGCTTGTTCAGAGCGGCAGCAAAGTACCAGGGAGCGGGGAGACCGATGGAAAAAAACCCACACAAAATTGTTTGGCTCAGGAGGGAGTAAACACAATAAATAATCCCCAGACAAAGGGACAACGCTGTTGAGTGGATTAAACACCCAACTGGAAGGCTTTGGCCAGGTTTCAGCTCTCCTCCTAATGCGACGTGACCTAGAGCAAATTACAGGCTCTCCTGTTCGTTAATAGTGAAAAGGACTTAACGAAACACAAACCAGCAGCGCCCGCTGAGCAGCAGCCTCCAGGGTTCATTCAGCCGGCACCGCCTTGCAAACCACTTCCACCTGCGTTCAGAGCCTGGTGAAACGGCCCAAATTGCTCAGAAGAGCCTGCTTTGTGTTCTGTGTATCTTTTTTCAGCTCTTAACTAGTCCCACAGGGTGAGAAAATTCGCCTCGTGCGCTAACAGCAAAGCAGAATTCTGGAGAACGATGCAAATTCACCCACGGGAGAGCATGAGGCTTCGTGCTGGCAAGCAGAGCCCTCGCCGTGGCTCTGAGCGCCGCAGCAGCAGAGCACAGGGACATGAATTCCCTGGAATTCATTGCCATCAGCCTGCAGAGCCAGCGTCGGGTCTGCAATTGGCGATTTTTCAGGCCCACATCCTGTGCTGGGCCTGGAGACAGCCCATAAATTCTCCTGTACTTTTCATTACACAAGAAACATTCACTATACTTTACTACCTCAGTCTGGCCAGGAAGAATATTGTAGTCTTTTTTTTTTTTTTCATAGGGTTATTGAAAGAAAAATTCATGGCAAACATTTACAATGGTTAAAAAGAAATATCTTGAAGAGAACTGCCTGGAAAAAAATCTGACAGACACGTGAAAATGCTTCCAAGGCACATCTGAGTAAGCTTTCCTGTCATGTCTGCAAAACAAGTGACACGACACTGCGATCTCCTTGGGCTGCTTAGGGCTGCCAAACGAGACGGTGTCCTGTCCTTGGGGCCTACAAAAGAAATAATAATAACTGTCCTCCACACGCCTCTCCTCACCTGAAGGAAAATCTGAATTATTTTCTCTCCAGAGCCCAAAGGAGAGACGAGCAATTCTGAGCTCCCTCAGCAGATGGTAGTGCTGCACTGCTCAGCCTCTGTCTACTTTGCAGATATTTAGAAAGTCATTTTCAGGCTCAGACATCCAATTCTCAGCTCATGAAATATATTTAAAGGCTTCAACTTCTGTACTTATGCACACCCAGGGAATTCCTGGGTAGGATGTACTCATCTCACGTTATTGGCAATAGTTTTTGGCCATGCAGAAGCCAGATAAATGGCCTCAATGGCAGATTTACACACCAACAGAGAAAAGGTGAATAAGTTTAGGACTTATTTTCTTTCTCTGTGGTAAATCTCTGTATCCTGAATGAATGATGGTGTTAGTTTTTCTTTGAAAAAGAAATCGTGGACAAAAGTGTCAAAAGCTTAAGGAAACAGAAATGATGGAAGAAAAGAGATCACACTTTAAAAGGCACTTGCACTACCTCACCCGTGCACGGATATCATTCTCCGCCCAGCTTTGCTTACGAGAAACCAGCCTCATTAGTCCAAGAATCATAGAATCATTAAGGTTGGTTTTTAATCTGAGACGTGTTGATGAAAGAGAGCCTCTGCTGCAGATAAACACTCCTGCCTTTCTCCTCCCAGTCCTCCTCAGCCCACCCCAGCGTCCTGCTCTGACGCAGAGGGAGCTGCAGGGCTGAATGAAACTTGTTTGAGGTTCCAATTAAATCTCCGTGGAAGAGTGACACTCATATCCTCTTCTGATAAAAGGCGATCATAAATCCTCCGGGAGCAGCAGCTGCAGAGCACACTGCCTCCCGCAACAGCAGCAGCCAGCTCCGCGCACCAAGATGGGCTCCAGGGTAAGAGTTTGTTCTCCTCTGCTCCACACAACAGGTTTGCACCGCGAAGGGGATGGTGTTTGTGGCTTGAGACATAAGGGCTCCACTATTCTGCATGTCTTTACTGTCTATGCTTCCTTATTCTTTCTCTTAATTTACACACACACAGATATATATATATATCGTCTTGCATTGATTCTATTATTTGGTATTTATTAGTACTCCAAGGCACAGTGAGAAACCATCCCTGTTTCCCACCTTGGTGACGATATTTGATGAGAGACGGTTTGGAGTGTTCGCTTTTTTTAATTAAAAATTGATAAATATCATTGCCTGGGATTTCAGGAAACTAGAGGATTACTGGAACGAGTGATAGTTAGGACTCAGCTCCATTCATTTTGCCACTTAATCTCTGAAGTGCCTGAGAGCTGTAAGAACGCAAATGGCTAATTGTTTGGTTAGCTTAGTGCAAATTTCTGCTTGATATTTTTGGTGTGATCGAGCAAGTGATTGTCTCTCAGCCCCTCTGAAACCGTGATCTTAATCACATATGTCAGGCTTTTAAGTCCCGTATCTTGCCACGACATTTCAATTAAGTCAAGTGAAAAGACACATAAGGCAAATGAATTTCCTTTGAGACCTAATTTAATCTCCAAAGAACAAACATGGAACAAAAGACGTAGAGATTACCACAGACAAGCTGAATCTTTGGAAGAAGACTTAGATGATGCCTTGAAGCAGCTACAAGATGTCTCGGAAGAGTGGAAATGGGTTAGAACGCGCTCCATCGCAACTTCAAATGCAAGCTTGATAAAACCATGGCCTTTCCTAGCAAAGTTGGTGCTCCCAGGTCCTGAGGACCAGCACCCACCTCTTGGAGGACACAGATGCTAAGTGTCCTCAGGAGTTGCTTTCTGCAGGGAGAAACCACGACCTTCAGGGGACTGTAACTCAGACTGTCTTCTTTAAAGGTGATGGGAGATCTTCAGCCCTGAAGACCAGGAGCGAGCAGGACGCAGCGTGAGCTCCAGGCTCTCGGCCATGTCCGCGGATGCCGAACACATGTGCTGGCGCTGGCTGGCAGAGGGCCGGGCGTCGGGGAGGCTGGTGCTGGTGGTGGTGTTCGTGGCGCTGCTGCTGGACAACATGCTGCTCACGGTCGTGGGTATGGCTCTGGCTGTGCAATTTGGGTGCTGCCTTGGGGGTTTCAGCTCCTCGGTCAGTCTCTGGTTGGTGCTGGCAGAATCCCCTCAGAGGGAGAGCTGCGGGGAGGGCTGGATGCTGGGAGCTGCCAGGACACCAACATCTGGTCCATACCATTCAGTTCAGCTGTGTGCGGAACCAAAAAACGGAGTAAAATCCCTAACTAGTCCCTTCCTTGGCTTCTCTTCCAGTACCGATCGTCCCCACCTTCCTTTATACAACAGAATATGAAGGAGCCAACAGCTCTGTTGCCCCAGCCTGGCCTGAGCTGCCTCCTCCAGCCTCGAAGGCTTCTCCTTTCTCCTCCATGTTCTCCTATTTCGACAACACCACAGTGGTGGTATCCGGCTCCACGAGCGCCATGGACGTGGCCAACGGGATGGAGAGCAGCCACCTTCCGCAGCCCCCTGCCAGCGGCCCCCCAGTGCCGAGCGGCTGCCCCGAGGGTGAGGAGTACCTTGCCAAGGAAAACGTCCGCATTGGGCTCCTGTTTGCTTCCAAGGCTCTTGTACAGCTGGCGGTCAACCCATGCGTGGGTCTTCTGACCAACAGGTAGGTCAGAGAGGTGGGTCTGCTCCAGGGTGTAGCCCCTCGGGGACAGGCAGCTCCTGCCTGCTGATGAAATCACCTTGAGCTGAGCAGTAAAGGTCTGTGCTGCATGTGGGCAGCGGCAGCAATCATGGAATTACAGGAACCTGTGGGTAGATTAGCAAGGGGGAGAACATATGCATGAAAATAAGCATGGGTTTTACCTTTTCTAAAAGCCTGTAAATGGCTTACAAGTTTATATTACAACGTAAGCCTCACTAATGCTCTCCTCAGATGCAGACAGATGCTATTTAATACCAGTAACCATCAAATAAACAAAGATTCCCACTCCACTATGGATATAACATTGTTTTCAGCTTTCTGCCCGAGTTTTCCTTTGTCTCTAGCAGGCACGTGTGAGGGGCGCTGGGCTCATCTCCACACAGTCTAGGTGGCAAAACAAAGCTGTGTCTCTGGGTGTGCTTTATGGCATTACCTGGGAGCTCTTGGACCCTCGAAGCTTCCTTGAACAGCACTTGTGGGCACATCCGCAAGCTCAGGAGGTGCTCACCAGCCCACAGAGACGTGTGTGTGTTAAGGCTGAGCAGCCAGACCAGATCTCAAGCTGGAATGAGAAATCTTCCCCAAGATTTTCCCTTTCTAGGATAGGATACCACATCCCCATGTTCATCGGATTTGTCGTCATGTTCCTCTCCACAATCAGTGAGTATTGCCCCTCATTCTGCCCTTCATACACAGCAGCACAGGAGAAAACACTTCGATCTGTGCCTGCACTGGAGTGAGAGCAGAGGAACAGTGGCAGGAAAGAACAAGTGGCACCCAGCACCCAAAGTGGTGCGAGCTGAGGCTGCTCCTACCCTCTGCAAGGTTTTAACATCCTGCAGCTCTGCCTGACATTGTCTCTCTCCTTCCTCTGCAGTGTTTGCTTTCTCAGGCACCTACACCTTGCTGTTCATCGCCCGAGCCCTCCAAGGCCTTGGGTCATCATTCTCATCCGTTGCAGGTAAATATTTCAGCTACACCTTAGTCTCTGTGCAAGCTCCCCTTGTCTGGGGTCAAGGCTCAGCAGCACAGACACACCGAGTGCCTTCCTCAGCCTCAAACTCCCCCTCCTTGCTATGCCCGCCCAGCTGGTGCAGATGGTGCACCCACACAGCCCAGCCAGCAGGAAGATAAATCCCCCCAAGAGCCCAGACTGCTTTCAGAGAGGAGCCCCACCACCATGTACGAGTCAGCCTCATGTGGCCTCTCACTTTCTCTCTCTTCCCAGGCTTGGGCATGCTGGCCAGCGTGTACACAGACGACTCTGAGAGGGGCAACGCAATGGGGATCGCTCTTGGAGGCTTAGCCTTGGGTGTGCTGAGTAAGAAAACCTTGTTCCCAACAGAGTTTACATCAGCAGCGCCTCCAGAACTTTGTTGGCCACCACCTATGACTTCCACCTGCCTGGTTGTGCCCCTTCCTCGGCAGCGGCACGGCTGGCCCGTCCTCCTCCCTCCCTCTGCTCACTCGCCGAGGCCCGTGGGACCCACCACCTCCCCACCACCTTCACCAGACACTCACAGTGGCATTGAGAGATGACGACAATGGCAGGAGCCGGGGACGGTGGCACTGCCGGGGTGTGACGCAGCCTTTCCCTTGCAGTCGGGGCCCCCTTCGGGAGCATCATGTACGAATTCGTGGGGAAATCGTCTCCTTTCCTGGTCCTGGCACTCCTCGCCCTATTGGATGGAGGTGAGAAGCCAAATGGTTTAACCCTACCAAAAAAACCCACACGTGAAAACATTAAAATGTGGAAGTTTTGGGGGAGAATCTCTCAGGGCTTGAGTGAAGAAAGAGGCACATTAATACAACACGGGGAATATCATCAGCACTGGTTATTCTGCTGTTGCTAAATCATACGTTTTTCACCAGCAGATGCATGACATTGCAATATAGTAAGAATTACTTCCTCCTTACTCAATAACCCCCCTGATTGCTTTAATGGCTTGCACTGCACATTTGCTAAAGCTCTTTGAACGGCAAATTCTTTGTGAAAGGCACGCTTGTCTGCAGCCTCTTCACCATCCACAAAGGAATTAGACTTTGCCAGCAAAAAAAGTGATCCTTGTTCTGTCTCTGATCGCTGTATTACAGACGCAGGCCACAACAGCCCTCAGAGTGTAACAGCAAAGTCACAGATAGTAGAAATGTGCATTTTCAGTGGGAAGTATTAAGCTAATTAAATTATAGACACAGTTACCGTTTGCCCAGATGTAATGCAAGACATCTTCAATGAAGCATGTAAGAGCTTTTGGAAAATGAAACGTAGCTCCCGTACATACGAAACTTTCTTTTTTAATCCTATTCTTCCCCGCATCTAATTTCTGTCATGCTCTAGTTGTGGCTCCCCAGCAGGCAGCTGGCAGCCTGACTGAAAGCATTTGCATATTTGACTGCTTCAGGGGTCAGCAAAACACTTCTAACACAGCCCAGTCCAGGGACTTGTGCTGCTCCCTCCAGTGGGACCAGGGCTGGGACCCACCTCTCCCCCTGCCCACTGGAATAACGCCCCCAAACACAGTTACTGCACCCCTGGGGGCTCTGCTGATGAAAGGGCTCAGGCTGAAGGAGAGGCCAGAGGGATTGAAGCGATGCTGTCTCCAGCAGGAAGCTAACATGGGTGTTTTCTTCCCAGCTTTGCAGCTCTGCATCCTGCAGCCCTCTAAGATCTCCCCCGAGGTGAGTACAGACGTGTCTGCACACGGGAGCCAGTGCCAGGCAGCAGGGAGGCGTCGAGCCAAGGGTGGGCACGAAAAAGCCTGCCGCTCTCCGCCAAAATAACCCTGCTTTGCCACCCCGCAGAGCACCAAGGGCATGCCAGTGTCCACCCTGCTGCAAGACCCCTACATCCTGGTCGCCGCAGGTAAAGGCGGAGGTCGGCACGCAGGGATTCACTCATACCTGCACGGAATAACAGCAGAAAGTGGCTAAAACAGAGCCTTTCTCCCTTTTCTCCCCGTCAGGAGCCCTCTGCTTCTCCAACATGGGGGTGGCCATGCTCGAGCCCACCTTGCCCATCTGGATGATGCAAACCATGTGCTCCCCGAAATGGCAGCTAGGTAGGTGCTGGGCTTCGCAGCCTCCACTCCTGACCAGCTGCTCGATACAGTTTAGCTAGAACTGGTCCTGCTTTGCCACCAGGAGATGGATCGAATCATCTCTTATGTCGTTCTAAAAAAGAAGAAAACATATGCCCTCACTCACACAGAGTGAGTGATCTCGGGCTGCGTGTTGCTCCAATTTCAGCTGGAAATGTCCTGAGTGGTAGCTATATAATGTGCTTTTCTCTATTACTGAAAAAATCGTATAGAATCAGACTCCCCACACGAGCAATAACGGTGGAAGAAAGGCTGTTTCGTGCACAGGAAGCCTGTCAAATCCTGTCTTCTGCAAGTCAGATAATGGTATCATGCTGGGCTGAAACGGTGGCAGCCAGATGGGTTTTGCAGAGGCAGCTCTGAGGAAAAAAGGCCATTTAGAGAGTCTTGGGCAGGACAGGATGGTACGTGCTAATTACCAGCTGCCTAGAAAATGTGATATGGAGATAACATTGCCTGTGTTTGCTACAAAAATAAAAACCAATTGTTATAAAACCCAATTGGCTGAGGAATGACCCAGGGGGTTGCCCCAGGCAACACTTAGATCCCAAATTGAATTACAGCCTGGGAGGAGAAGGGTCGAGAGAACTCGTAATTGAGTTATGCTCTGGTCAAGCAGGAGCATCCATCCTGATAAGAGCCTACGCTTCCCGTGAGCGAGTGACTGAGCAAGGATGGACCAGGGTAAAACAGCAACCCAAGGACTCCGGCAGTGGGGACACCACATGTGTCACGGGCTCAGAAAAACACTCAGGGCTGCCCCTGTCACCACTGAACTCAAGGCAACCTAATATATTCACCAAATTGTCATGTACCTGAGGGAAGTTTGGATTTAGACAGTTCAGCTGCAAGCAGCCCATCTCACAAGCTGTGATGAACTCAAGGAGCTTCTTTATTTGTATTCTTCGGTTTTCCCGTTCCCACAAATCTGGAAAAAAAAAACCAAAACAGAATAGCTTGGACTAAACCTGCAGGATTAAGTGAGTTACGTAGCTGTAAAAGAGAGGAAAGAAAATCAAACATAAAGCAGTGCGTGCCAATAAGGAAGTTGTCTTAGTGAAATGCAGCTGAGCAGTTTTATTTATAGTCAATGAGAGAATATATTAAAAGTAAACAGCTGGTAAATCAGCAAACAGAGCAAATATTTAATTTGGACTACATAATGATCCCCCAGCTTTTTTACTTCAGCGATTATTTTACTCTTTATTTAGTAAGTGAAAAGCAGAGGACACAAAGAAGCAGCACCACATGGATGGGCACCGGGCAAGGGCCTGCCTGGCTCACGACAGTCTCCAAAAGAGAGGCAGTCAGCAAAGCGCACATTTTTGCAAATGCTCCGTGTTTGCTTGGGGCTGACATACTCTTTTTTATTCTCTCTCTCTCAGGGATGGCGTTCCTCCCTGCCAGCATATCCTACCTCATCGGCACCAATCTCTTTGGGATTCTGGCTAACAAAATGGGCCGGTACGTGGAACATAAGAGATTTAAGTTCCACCCAGCTCTGTGCTTTCAGCGTGAATTACGCCCGTGGCACTGTGCACGCTGAGAGCATCTGACCTCGTTGCAGGTGGCTGTGCTCCATGATCGGCATGGCTGTGGTGGGAATCAGTCTCCTCTGTGTAAGTAGTGCAAGACAATTTTGAGACCTTTCCCAAAAGCAGTAGGGGCAGCGCGGGTGACAGCACCGCCACAGGGTCACGTACCTGGCAGCGGGTAGATGTTCAGTGGGTTCACGGATCAATGTTCCGCCTTTACACCTCACGCGGCTCTTCCGGCCTCATTCATGTTTCCCCTCTCTCTCCTCTCAAAGGTACCTCTGGCCAAAAACATTTACGGGCTGATCGGCCCCAACGGCGGGCTCGGCTTTGCCATAGGTAAGCGGTCAGGTCAGGCTGTGCGACACAGCTCAGGCGCAGCTCTCACCACCACGGTGACCCACCAGGTCCTTCTTGCTTCGGGCAGGAATGGTGGACTCCTCGATGATGCCTATCATGGGTTACCTTGTGGACCTTCGCCACACCTCCGTCTACGGTAACGTCTATGCCATAGCTGATGTCGCCTTCTGCATGGGCTTTGCCATCGGTACGCAGCGACTCTCACTCCCGGGATGATGTACTCAGAGTGTATTTCACTGGGTTCACTGCTCCCTCTCCACCCAGGCATTGTAGATTCATGGAACACCTTGAAACTGGAGAGGCACCTCTTTCTCTCTGTCATATTAGCCTTTTTTAATTGTTAAATTTGCAGGCCCATCCACAGGAGGTGCCATTGTACGAGCTATCGGGTTTCCCTGGCTGATGATCATCATCGGCGTTATCAATATCGCTTACGCTCCGCTCTGTTGGTACCTGCGCAACCCTCCCGCTAAAGAGGAGAAAATTGTGAGTTTAAGTACACTGTATTCCCTTAAAGTACAGGAGACGCTAATCCAGAGATTTGCGTGGGATAAGAATAAATTTGAGAGGATTGTGTCTTCCCTTTTGGGCTCTAATCTGCCCTCAACAAAGAGACAGAAAACTCAGACAACAAAACCAGACAAGTTTAGAGCTGCTGCCCTTTCCTTAACAGTTGTTGGCTGCTTGGCCTTTCTCTAAAACCAGTAATGTTTGCCTTAACTATTTGTCGTGGTTTGACCCTGGCCGGCAGCCAGAGACCCACACAGCCGCTCTATCACTAATGCCCCATGCAAACCAAAAGCTACGCCACTGAGAAAACCCTGCGCGATTTCCCTCTCGCAGACGACAGCGACGTGGAGGCAGAAAATGTGGAATAGCAAGTGCAAGGACGGGCATCTTATTTTGAAACTAATGCTACATTTACAGAACGTGGATGTGTTAGCTCCCGAGAATAACCGAGCCTCCCCCAAGCCTCGTGGACACAGGCTGTGCCACTGACCTGTTCTCTTGGCCACGCAATGCATCGCTCATGTGCTCTGTGACTTCTGGGCAAGTTACTCAAACTCATTACATGGCACCTGGGAAAAAAAAAGAAGTTACAAAGGTGAAGAGAATCATCTCAAACTGTCCTGCAGAACAACATTGTCCAGGGCACAGCCTGCCCATGCAGCAGGGGACAATAGCGACACCTCTCCCAGATGAGTCCAGTGGCATTTGTTAACGTCTTTAAAGCGCTCACTGTGCTTGAAAGAAAAGCACTGGAGAAAATGACAATGCAATCAGCAGCATCAGCTTTGGGAGATCTCATCCTCCAGAATTCTGTTACAGTCCCCAGCATGAAACTGTTCTGTAACAACAGGGCACTATCCATCTGTGTCACTGCCAGCCCGTCGATAAAGATGTCACTGCACTGCTAACGCACCCCACGCTCCACCAAAGAGAGTTAAAAGCCCTGCTCCTCGCTGCGCTGGCTTAGCTTTGTGTGTTCTGCTATTTATGTGCTACTTATGGCTGCTTGTGTGTCTCTTCCACCACCCATTAAACGATGTATTTGAAAAACTCCTAAGAAATTCAAGCCCAAACATGGCTGAAAGCAGTTTTACACTCAGAGACACAGTCTCAGCCAATAAAGCTAATTAGATCCCCTGTGATCCTAAGTGACTAACGGAGCATTTTTAAAAATCCCTGCTCCTCAGCTGAGCCGAGCTGGGGTAACGGGCTGTGTTCTGATCCCAACCCACCACGATGAGGAGCACAATAGGTTGATTTAATTGCCCTTTTGCAATTTCATGGCCATGAGTTTAGAAAGAGAGCAGCTGCACTGCTAACAATAATTATTACCAGTCTGTAAATGTTAGTTAAGTAAGACAGAGTGAAGTAATGGAGGCACCAAAGTAATTTTCTAAGTATCGGAGAAATTCCTGTGATCTCATTTTTTCCAGTGAAACCTCAAACTTAGAGCTTCTCTGGTTCCACTGCTGGCAGTTTATATAAACTCATTTCTGTCTTGAATGAGCAGTTGTGTAAGGCACAGCCATTTCACTTGCCAGAAGGAACAGATGATTCACTGCTCTGGAGCCTGAGCAGCACAATGCAGATGTGCTTGCCAGCAGGGAAACAGGAGGATAATAACAATTCATCAAGATTTGGTACCTTCTGACTCATTACCAAAGGTCACAAATGGCTGTTGTCAGGCAATCCCACATCCATGGCGGGCCCACCGCCCCTCGCTTTGCGCAGACATGACAGAATTATATTTCTTAGCCTGACTGGAAATGACTAATGCTAAGCCTGTTCTCAAAAAACCTGTTATTTTTACCTTCCACCTGTTTCCCTGCTTTGCCAAGAATAAAAGGAAAAACGTGTTCGCTTTCTGCGATGGAAGAGAAAAAAACCAAAAAGCAAGCTGCTCTATTTGGGGATCTGTTCGCGCTTCCACCGCACACCACTCACTTAAATATTAACTCTAATCTCATCTGCGCACCTGGTTGCTCTGGAAACCCATCCCCTAGGAGCATCATGAACGCAGCCAAGCCTCCAGCTGGGAGGGGAGGTGGGCTCCTGACCCCGCAGTGCTGAGCTCTGCCCTGCGGCAACACAGGTCACAGAATGTCAGGGGTTGGAAGGGACCTCTGAAGATCATCCAGTCCAACCTTCATCCCAGCACACCCAACCACTACACCACAGCCTCAAGTGCCAGATCTACTTTTTTTTTTAAACCCCTCCAGGGTTGGTGACTCCACCACCTCCCTGGGCAGCCTG